CGCAGCTGGCTGAGGAGCCCCGAGCATGCCCGGCAGGCAGGGCACGCGTGCTCTGGAGCTCTGCCCCGTGGTGCTGTGCACAGCAGTGACCCGGGAGCTGCCTGCAAGGGGACAGTGCCCTGGCATGTGGCCTGTGCCATGGCAGGCAGATGTGGGGGCAGAACCTCCCCGCCCTGCCCATGCCCGTCCATGCCCAGGCACCCGGGGTTGCGCTCCTTGGCAGTGCTGAAGGGACAGCTCCCACCTGTGCACGTGGAGCGCCTGCCGGGCTTGCCCTGTGAGTGCACTGGGCAGGGCCTCTGCTGGAGGCTTGCTGCGGCGTGGAGGGCCCAGGGGCTGGCCACGTGCGGGGCTGGGTCCCTCAGGTCCCTGCCTCACCCTCTTGCGGGCGGCTGTGTCGCTGCCCTCGGCTGATCCCGGGGGCCGCGTGGCCTGGGTCAGAGCCCCAGCCTGGCCCCAGTGCATGGTGGTCTTGGGAGGGTTTGCTTCCATGCACCGCATCTCTGCTCCCCGGCAGCACAGGCTGGCACTAGTTGTGGTGGGCCCAGTGCCCTGGCTGGGGTCCTGGGGCCACAAGAGCCTCAGCCATGTCTGGCCCTGGCCCTGGCCCCAGCTCCAGCCCTGGCCTCACAGGGTGGGAGCGACTGTCCTGCCCGATGGCAGAGGCCAGGAGGCTGGGGCATGCCGAGGCATCAAGGGGTCCTTTGGCAGGCTGAGATCCTCCTGGCCTCTGCAGGCAGGGGGAGGCTGCAGGGCCCACACCCCAGGCTGGCCTCCCCAGAGACCTGGGAAGACAGTTCGCAAGGGAGACCCGGGGCAGCTTGGCCTGCAGGAAGCACCCCTGCATGCACCATCAGTGCAGCCCCTGGGGCAGGAGCGCCACGGCCACCGCCCGTGCTCTGGTCTTCCCAAGTTGCATTGTGCTGGGGCCGGGCTGGGAGCCAGGCTCGGGGAGGGGCAAGATCGCCTGTCCGTCCGTTCCCGGCTGTTCCAAGAGCTGCCCCCATGGGGAAGCGTGGGCAGCGTGTGGCCGTGTGCAGACACAAAGATGTGCCTCACGCCCATGGCAGGGCAAGGGGAGGCTCAGCAGCCCCTTGTCCCTGGGGAAATGCTGTGTTCCCTCTTCCTGGGTGCAGGAGTCCCATCCTGCTGTGTCTGAGCGATCTCCATCCTGGACCATCAGGGCTGGGACCACGAGCCTGATCTGCAGGGTGTGGGAGCGGCAGTAGCTGGTGGAGGCGGGTTTTGCATGTGCTGCTGGGCCCCGTGCTAGTGGGGGCTCTGGCCCGGGTGTGCTGCGTGGCTGCAGACCAGGCCAGGTAGCATCTCCTCGCTGGCTGGGGCTGGCAGGTCCCCGTGGGTGGTGCTGTGTTTGTCATGGGCAGGGGACCCTCCTGGAGGTGCTTCTGACAGAGGGACCAGGCCTGCAGGCGGTTCAGAAAGCTTCCTGCACCCACGTCACCTCCGCTGGGTTCGTCCTGGGTCCAGCCACGTTGTGGTCCCAGCTGGGCCCGGGGCCCGCCTGGTAGCAGTGATGCAGTCGTTGGCAGGAAAGGGCCAGTAGACGTGTGGCATCTTGCTGCTGCTGGCACCAGAGCCCCTGTCACCTGAGGAGCTGCCCCCGTGGCCGAAGCACAGAGTGTCTGGCGGAGGAGTGGACGGCTCCTTGCCCAGCAGGGCAGCTGGCTGCTCTGGGCAGGAGCAGGGCACGGGTCCCAGGCTGGCGCTGCGTCTGCTACTGCAGTCGTAGAGCTGCTACATCCTTTCCCCGGACTGCGGGCAGAAGGGCCTGTGCCTGGGGCAGGGGGCTGCAGCGTGGAGTCGAGAGGGTCCTGGTTGTGCCCTGCAGACAGACCCGTTGGCAGCTGCTGTGCCAAGCACGGCCATGTTCCTGGAGGGCAGCCTGGCCTCCTTCCTGGGGACAGGAAGTGTTGGCCTGCCTTCCTGAAGACCGGCAGTAGGGGAATGGCGGCCATCTTCACTGAGGGCAGCCCCTGGCTTCTCCAGGGAGACAGCAGCCATCTTTTCCTGAGACATCTTGGGCGAGGTAGCCCATGCCTGCAACCGGGCTGGGGTCACCTGCAGAGCCGTAGCTGGACCCTGCTCAGCCGCAGCGTGCTCGTTGCGAGCAAAGCCCCGAAGGGCCTGTGGGCACCGGGGGTGGTGCCGGGCTTATCACGGGCTGCGGGATGGCATGCCTGTTGGAAGGGTTGAGCCGTGCCATCTGCCCACGAGCTCCCCGCAGGGGAGGGCACCTCACGGCTGCGCGGGCGGTTGGAGCTGAGTGCCCAGTCCGGGCCGTCGCAGGCTGCTGGTCCCAAGGTGGCGGGACGCAGTCAGGGCCCCTGACAGCGCCGCCTGCCCTGGAGCGATGCAGCAGATGGAGAAACAATGAGCACGTCTGTGGCAGTCGGCGCCATTCGATCGGCGGCCTGGTGCCGGCACGCGGGGTCACTCCCCGCTGTCGGGAGCCTCGCGTCTACCCCTCGCTCCAGGCGTTCGGGCTCATCCCAGCACTGACGATGCCTCTGCTCATCTGTGGTCGCCTGGGATTTCCGTGGTGGCTAAAGCTGTCCCGAGCCCTGGCCAGGAGTCCTGACGGGGGTGGGAAGGGCTGGGCAGCGCGTGCTGGCGGAGGCTGTGCTTTAAGGGCAAGTTGGCACCTGCGCTGCCCGGGGGAGCTGAGCTTACGGCTGCTCCGGGCTCCCCTGCAGGTGAAGTGCGCACTAACGAGCCGGCCCTCGTTTGCCATTGGCTCAGTGGTGTTGAGGGCTTTGCCATGAGGCTGGTGCCGGTGAGGGGAGCCCAGCCGGGGCCTCGGGCTCCTTTGGCCTGCAGGGAGCGGACGCAGTCACACACCCCGTACCTCAGAGCCTGCTTGGGGGCCGCCGGTGAGGCTCCCTTGGCGAGTCTGCAGTTGGCAGCGCCCACGGCCAGTGAGTTCAAGCAACCCATGGATCCGAAGAGCGGCCACGCTCCCCGCAGGCCTCGGTCAGGCGCAGCCCAGGCCATCTGAGCGGTGGCACCAGACGTGGGGACAGAGCCGAGCCACGCTGGGACGGCCCTCCTGTCCTGGGGGAGTGGGCTGTGTGCAGTCAGAGGGCAGGGCAGGGCAGGGCCTGCTGGGGGCACAGGTGGGTCCTGGGGAACGTGGCTGGCAAAGCCGGGCTGCAGCCACTGGCCCTTACCTGGGCTCAGAGGCTCGCTCCAGCCCTGCTGCCCCTGGGGCTGCAGCTGCGCGGGAGGCTCATGTGCCAGGACGGGCCCTGGCGGTCCCTGCAGTGCGGTGGGGGCAGGGTGGGGGGTGCACTGCCTCTCTTCTCACCCTGGGCATTGAGTGATGTCTTTGGCATCACCCAATGCGGTGGCCTCTGGGCCTGCCAGGGCCTGGCACGGTCCCGCTGCGGGGCTGCAGCTGCGTTCCTGGGTGCTCTCGTGGCACCGGTGTGCCAGCATGTCCAGGCCCATTGCGCTCCCTGGGTGCACCGGAGAGGTCGGCGCTGCCTGGGCTCGCGTTGGGGACCAGCCGGTGTGCAGCCACGTGGGGATGCTCCGGGCAGCCCAGGGCCTCCTGCCGGTGCCCAGTGCGTGGCGGCAGAGCCAAGCCATCAGCCCTCTCTGAGCTGGGGGTTGGCCAGTCCAGGCAGGGCCGTGGTGCAGGCAGCCTAGCCTGGACCCCCTTGTCACCTCCAGGGTGGGTGGGCAGGCACTGGGGTGGTCCCAGGGCTGAGCCTGCAGCCAAGGACCTCCCTCTGCCCACGTCCCTGCAGCAGCAGTGGAGGAGTCGAGGGGGAGGGGGCCGTTACATAAGGACCAGAGGCAGCGGCAGAGCAGAGCGAGCGGCATGGAGCAGGGGGAGGGGACGGCGGAGCTGCAAATCACGGCGCCTCCTGCCCGGCCTCCCTGGCGAAGGATGGCAGCTCGGTGACACGCACCTGGGCCTTCGCCTCACCCACGTGGGTGGCTCTCTGCAGGCCAGCGTGGGTGGGAGGGGGAACGTGGGCTCCTTGCCACCCTGCTGTGGCACTGGCCCCAAGCCAGCCACGCTGCCCCACTGGCACTGGCGCTGCCCCATGCTCCCCACTGCAGCTGCCCTGCTGGCCCCGGGCTCAGCACCAGCCTGTGGGGGCAGCTCTGGTGGGCAGCTGCCGAGGGGCTGAGCAGCAGGCAGAGAAGTGCTGGGGGAGTGTAGGGTCTGATCCAGCCCTGGATGCAGGGCTGCCTGGTGCGGCTGGGGATGGCTGTGGCTGGGCAGGCGCCGCGCCCCAGCCCCAACAGCCACCTGCATTTCCCACGCCCCCACACAGCGCGCCGGGCACAGGAGAGGTCAGTCTGTGCAGGACATGTGCCTGGGCGGGGCACAGCCTGGCTGCACTGGGGCAGGGTGGGGTAGGGGTCTCCACCTGCACCCCACGCTGGCTGCGGGTCGTGGGGGAGAGCGCGGGGGCCTGGGGCAGCTGGACACGACGTGGCACGTCCAAGGCAGGCAGGGCCATGGCACTAGGTGCCCAGCACACCAGGCTGGAGCCCAGGCTCAGTGCCACCTCTCCTGTCCCTGGTGGGCCCAGTGGAGGCTCCCCGGGGGTCGTCTCCATCCCCATGCGTGAGGCTGCTGCATCCCTTCTGTTGGCACTGCCTGTCCATGCGTCTGTCTGCACGTGCCTCTCTGTGTGCATCAGCAGTCCCCTGCCCGTGGGTCGTCCTGTGCACATTCGGGTGTGTGGTCCCTGCCCAGCCCTGGAGTGCAGGATGCTGGTCGTGCTGCTCTGCATTCACAGACCCTTGCATCTGCCACCCTGGGTGCCCGCCTCCTCCCTTCCACGGCACACAGAGGGTGCGGGGCCTGGTCCTGTTGCATGCCTCGCTGTGACCCAGCGCTCCCACTCCCCTGGTGCCCAGCCAGGCCGGGGGCTGGAGCAGAGTGGGAGGCCATTGGGCTGGTTAGGCATTCCCCAGCCACTCGCCGGGCATGGGCACTGGGCTGGTGCAGGTCTCTGGGTGGGGGACACAGCTGCTCACCGTGGCCGCTGACTGTCCCTGCCCTTCTCTCCACAGAGCCGTGGATCCCAGTTGGGCAGCTCTTCCTGAAGGTGCTTGGCAGCCAGCAGCCCCGTGGCTCTGAAGAGGCAGCCAGCTGCCCCCAGATCACTGCAGCCATCCTGCCACCCTCGCGGGAAGTGCCCGCCTGCCCGGGCCCCCCAAGACCCTGCCTCTAGCTGCGCTGGTGGGGGGCGCTGCCCCGCACCTGGCCGCGATGGGGACTCTCTGAGCCGTGGACGCAGGCTTCCGGCTGGGTGTGGTGCCGCTCCTCCCAGACGATGTGGCTGGCTCCGCGCCAAGGCCCCGCCACGTCCCCTGGACTCCCCGCGCCTGAGCTGGCGGCGGGCCGGGGCCTGCGCCTCGTCCTGGGTGTGCTGAGCCTGGCCGTGGTCGTGGCGCGCCTGGAGGGGCAGGCCTACTCTCCCACCGTCAACACACGCTATGGGAAGCTACGCGGCGTGAGGGTGCCGCTGCCCAGCGAGATCCTGGGGCCTGTGGACCAATACCTGGGCGTGCCCTACGCGGCGCCGCCCGTCGGCGACAAGCGGTTCATGCCCCCTGAGCCGCCTGCGTCCTGGTCGGGCATCCGGAACGCCACGCACTTCTCGCCCGTCTGCCCCCAGAACATCCACAGCGCCGTGCCCGAGATCATGCTGCCCATCTGGTTCACCTCCAACCTGGACATCGTGGCCACCTACATCCAGGACCCCAACGAGGACTGCCTGTACCTCAACATCTACATCCCCACTGAGGACGGTGAGTGCCGGCGGCCGGGTCCCGGGGCGTGGGTCTGCCGCATGCGGCCGCCGTGGCACCTGCAGCATGGTCTGTGTGTGGATGCGCGCGCTTCCTCTGCCCACGCCGCTTGCCCCCGCTGCCGCCCCTGTTTCGTGCTCTCCCTGCCCCGTGCCTCCCCCGCCCGCCATGGCTTCCTCACGGCTCCTCTCTCGTCTTGCTCAGTCTGGACCGGGCTCTGACCACAGATCTGGCGCTGAGGGCCAGGTGCTGCCACAGGTGGCCTGGCCGTGTGCCCCGGCCCAGGGCGGGCTGCCGCTGGTGGGGAGGAACACTCCTGCTCGCTCGCTGGCTCTGCTGGGATGGGGGCCCAGGAAGCGGGGCTGGCTGCTCTCTCCAGCCGGGGACCCCAGCTCAGGGCAGGGCCCAGCCAGGGCATATGGGGACATCTTGCTGATTGGCGCTGGGTAGGGTGGGGCAGGGGTGGGGGCACCGGGACCAGCCCCTTTGTGGTGAGGCGGGTCGGGCGAGCCGGGCGCCTCCTCTCTAACCTTCTCTCCTGCAGCAGGTCTCCAGCCAGGACAGTAAGTAGCAGACGAGGAGGCAGCCCCCTCCCCGGGCCGCGGCCGCCTCACTACAGGGGAGCTGGGGGTCCGGTGGGCAATGCCACCGGGCGCCATCCCACCCAGGGCAGGGCTGAGTGTTCCTCCCGCGGCGGGCACCCCCCCGCCCCGCCCCTTGGTCGCCCGGGGCGCGGTCGTGCGTACGTGCATGCCCGCTGCGGCCTGTGGAGCCTCTGTTATTTTGTAGTCTTTTATTCATTTTACAGTAAAGCGGATTTCCAAGGAATGCGCCCGAAAGCCCAACAAGAAAATATGTAGGAAAGGAGGTAGGTAGCAAGCCGGCCCAGAAAGGAAAGAGAGAGGGAGACAGGGGCCCTCCGCTGCCCGGCCTGCCACGTGCTCCTCAGCCTTCCTCCACCTGCGGTGCAGCCCCCGCCCGCCCGCCTGCCCCTGCCTGTCTGCCCCTCCGCCTGCCCGCCCGCCGGTCCTGCTCCGAGGGGCCTCCTGGCCGTCCCGGCTGCGTGATGCTCCCTCGCCAGGGCATGGCTGGGCCGGCGCCGGGAGATCGGTTCTGCCGCCAGCTTGGACCAGGGCAGGGCCAGGCGCATTCCCAGGCCGTCACCAACTGCCACTCGCAGGGACAGGACCCGGGGCCTGGGGATGGGAACGGGGTGAACCGAGGGGCCTCGACATCTGTGCAGCCTGCTTGCCCCGGGTGCCGTGGTGCTGGGCCCGCCTGGATGTGCCTGTGCCTGGGGGTCCCCAACACGGCACCTAGGTCCTGCCGGTGGTGCGGGGGCCTGGCCCCCTGCACCTACATGTTGGTGCCGGCCTTGCCTGCCCCGGCACCCAGGCTGTCTGCCCGCTGGGCCCAGCCAGGCTCCGGGCTCGTGTGACCCAGCCTGGTCACACACCGCCTGTGCTCTGCACCCTGCCGGCCTGCCCAGAGGCTGCATCCTGCAGCAGGGCTGGGACCGTCTGGGTCCCGTGCCGAGGGGTTGTTCCCACCACGGTGCAGGGAGGGCCCTGGAAGCTCCTGGAGCTGTCCTTGTCCCAGCCTGCCCGGCCTGCAGCCACTGTGGTCTGTGCAGTGCAGGCCCTGAGCCCAGGCTGCAGCTGCTCCCCCAGAAAGCCGCAGTGACAGCTTTTCCCAAAGGCGGGGGTAAGCAGGGTGATGTGCGTGGCCCTGTGCAGCTGCCACGTGTGAGGGCTGGTCCTGCCCTCACCCACCTGGGCTCGGGCACCTGGTGGGTGGTAGGCAGGTCCCAGCACCTTCTACCCATGCAGCTGGGCTTGGCGCGGGGCGGGTCCTCCCAGTGCCGCTGGTGCCGTGGTTGGCTGCTTTGCTCTTCCTCCCTGGTGCTGGGCTGGCTCTTCCCTCCGTCTCCCAGCATCGGGGCTGCACACTAGCAAGTCTCTCCCATGCCTCCCAAGCAGGCAGCCTCCTCTCAGGTGGCACCAGCTCCTGGTCCTGAGCAAGCCGCTTGAGAGCCCTTCTTCCTGCTGCCCCAGCCTCCACTGCCTGCCAGGCATGGCCCCTGCCCCAGGGGAGCTGCTGTGTGCCATGGGACCCAGTGCAGGGAGGGGCTGAGCAGGGGTGCAGGGCTGGCATCCCCTGAACGCTGTCCATCACGGACCAGGGGATTCTGCACTGCTGTTGGTGAGCAAGGCCCTGCTGGGCATGTCCAGACCCGGTGGGCTAGCACCAGGGCGGAGCCAGGATACAGGCGTGGGACGTGTGCCTGGACGGCTGGTGCCTGAGCGCGGGAGGGCAGGCAACAGGCCACACGACCCCGAGCCTCCCACAGAGACGCTTGGGGGCTGGTAAAGGCACATTGCTCCTGCACCAGGCCCCCCAGCCCGGTGCTGACCTCTTCTGCGCCCGTGATGTGCTGTGCCGCGAGCATTGTTCTGTGATCGTAAATGGATGCAACCCCTGCTCAAGCAGGGGGACATGGCAGCCATTTCCATAGAGGAGGGAGAACGCCTTCTCTCTCTGGCTGCAGAGAGCGGGGCACAAGCAGTGGCTCTAAGTTGCAGCACAGCAGGTTTACACTGGAGTTCAGGAAAACATCACTATAGTGCAGGGAGGCCATGAGGTAGGTGCCAGGAAAGCTGTAGGTTCTCCGTCACTGGGGGTGTTAAAAGAGCTTGGACAGGGACTGGGCAGGGATGATCTAGGCATCACGATGCCTGTGCTCTGCTGTGGGGATCTCCCAGGCTTCCTGGCTTTCCTGGCTGCCACATGGGACCGGGAGGGAATTCCTTCCCCTCTTGCTGCTACCTGTGTCAGGGGTTTTCTAAGCCTTCCCCAGAGGCACTGGGTGCTGCTGCAGCCCAGGCTGGGGATGGGACTGTGCCAGTGCTCCTGCTGGGACCAACCCCACAGGGTCCTGTCTAGAGGGTCTGGTCCCTGCACTCAGGCTGAGACCGATGCCAGATTTGGGGTCAGAAAAGAATTTCCCCCTGGTCAGATTGGTCCGGGCTGGGGAGGGAGTTGCCTTGCTCTGTAGCCTGCACGGCCTCTTGCTGGAACCTCTCGGTGTCTTTGTGGCAGCAGGACATTGGCCGCTCTGGTCCCCTGCTTTCCCTGTGGCAGGTTTGGGTGCAATGTCTGTGCTGTGTCAGGTTGGCCGTAGATTTATGAAGAGGTTAGATGATGGGTGTGCCTGGCCTGGTTTGGACAGGGCTGATCCTGCCTCCGGCAGGGGCTGTGCTAGTGACCGCTGGAGGTCCCTGCCAGCCCCACAGCTCAGTGATTCTGTACTGCACTTTGTACAGGAGCAGCAAGCAAGGTGCTGGCGGGGCAGAGCCCGTGCGAGGTCCTGGGGGGATGGGTAGCAGAATGGGCCGGCTGAGTCGGACCGGACCCCCCCAGCTCTGATCCACCCTTGGCCCGGGGCTCTCGGGCACAGAGGCTACACGTGAAGCCTGGCACAGGTGAGGCAAGTGCTGGGGCAGCAGCCGTGTCCCACTGCAGTGTCTTGGCCCATGCAGGGCTGTCTGGAGGCAGCACTGCAGCCCCTGTGCTACTGGCTCTGAGAGCGCCAGGAGCATGGGGGAGGGAAAATTGTCCCTGTCCCTTGCCTGCAGCCTCAGCACCAGCCTCTCCTGCCCACTTTGGCAAGCAGCCTCCCCTCCCTGCACCCTCGACCCCCCCACAGCTGGGTCTTTTGTAGCAGGCTTCAGGCTGTGACCGGACAGATGGGCAGGCTCTGCTCTGCTTCAGAGTCTCCTTGGGGGTCTGGCCTCCACCGTTGCATGCTGCCATTCTCGCAGTTGAAGGGCAAGTGCTCAGGGCTGCCGGCCCTCGTGGGGACTGTGGGGTGCCTGGGCCAGCCGCACGCAGCCAGAGGCCTGGGACTTGCTGGGCTTCCCACCTGTCCCAGGGCCGAAGGGGCTCTAGGCCACGCGTATAACTGGGCAGGTGTCAATGCATTCCTAGTGAGGTTTGAATGCAAGCCAGTGCGCGGGGAAGGCCAGTGCCCTGGGCCCATCCACCTGCAGTCTGGGGTCTCGCCCCCGCCCCCGCAGCTCTGCCCTGCCTTCTGCGCTGCAGGCGCCTGGGTTCACAGGAGTCAGAGAGGGAAACCCGGCAGCAGCAGTGAGTGAGCTGCCGGCCCAGGCAACTTGTAGCACGGTACCAGGCAGCCTCTGTGCCCTTGCTGCACAGGGTCCCTGGGCCTTGCTCCTCTCGGTGTGAAGGTGGGGGGTGTCAAGCTTCCTCCTATGCCAGTTGAGCCTACCTGGCACCAGGCTGCCCTGGCCGGGCCACAGGGTCACCTGCTCTGGGCTGCCACAGGCTGCGGGCCCCGTGCGGAGCTGAGGCTCCCCTTGCCCCAGTGTCACCAAGCAGCGCGTCTGTGCTCTGCACACCGGCTTGCCTCAGGATGCTTGTGTGTGCTTCCAGCACGCAGGGCTCTCCGCATGCACCATGCAGCGGCACAGCCTGCCTGCCCTGTGCAGCTGGTCCCAGCAAGCTGCCTGCTGCAGGCGCCTGGCCCCTGCAACCTACTGGGCACCAGCAGTGACTGCAGCCCCGGGGCCAGCACAGCATCCGGGAGCACTGCGTCGGCTGCGATCTACAGGGCACAGGCTGCTGGGGTGGAGGGTGTCTGCATCCAGAGCTCAAGGCAGGGACTGATCCTGCATAGAGGGTGGCAGGCAGAGGGAGGTGTGGCCCAGGTGTCAGGGTGGGGTGGGCAAGTTGTGGAGCTGACCTGGCTGGGGGTCCCTGGTCTCACAGGGGCCCTCAGAGCTGTGGCTGTGCCCTGCTCTGTCTGGAGCATGGGAGGAGGCTTCTCCCTGCCCTGCTGGGGCTGACCGCCCCCTCTCCCTGTGCTGGACGAGGCAGAGGCAGCCCCAGAGCAGTTCGGGGAGCATTAATCTGGTCTGGGCCCAGAGCAGGGGCTGTGGTTAGGCAGGGGGAGCTGGGGGCAGAGACCTCCAACCCATCTGCCTGTCGGTGCCTGACTCCCTGTGACCCCACTGTGCCCGGCACAGGCCAGGGGAGGGCAGGTCCTGCTGATGCAGCGCAGTGCGCCCAGGACACCCAGGGGGTCTGGTCCTAGGCTGTGCGCCCTGGGCTGCATGAGGTGCAAGAGAGGCTCGGGCACTTGCTGCCGCCACCCATGCACCTGTGCATGCAGGCAGGCAGCCCACTGTGAGCAGGCCCAGCACCTGCAGCAACGGTCGTGCGGTGGGGGCATGTGCCAGCTGCTTGCACATGGGCCTCCTGCTGCTCTGTGCCCGAGAGACGTGGCACCACCTCTGCGCGCACCCCGGAGGGCTGGGGCCTGGGCAGCCGGCGCCTGGAGAAGGAAGACGCTTCTGGCCCAAAGTGGGGGCACACAACGTGATACTCGGGTCCTGACCATGCGAACCCATGCGGCCGGCTGCCCTCTGCCCCAGCGCTGGCTGAGCACCGTCTATGGAGCGGAGGGCAGCGGGCACAGCATGTGGTGCTCGGGAAGGAGAGGCAGCCACAAGGGCACATGGGAGGCGGGTATGTGGGCAGACGCCTGGGTAGGCCTGTATGCAGCAGGCTCCACGGCCCTCCTGCTTGCGTCCAGAGTGGCCCCAGCCCATGGCTCCTGCCCCTTCCCCAGGCCACGGCCCAGGTGTGCAATCCCTGCAGGGCGAGGGGCCCGGGCGGGCCAGCAACTGGAGGTGCCAGAGCCCGGGCGGCTGGAGAGGTGCCGTGTGCGAAGCCCGGCGGGCGGGCGGCGGCCCCGTCCCTGCTGTCTCGCTCTCTTTGAATTCTCTTGTTTTGTGTTCTGTTTTCCTTTCCTGTTCTGTCTCCTCGTGTTTGGTCCCTAGGAGCCAGCGCTAAGAAACAGGGCGAGGACTTAGCCGATAATGACGGGGACGAAGACGAAGGTATTTCTGTGCTCGAGGCTGCTGCATGACGCGCAAAGCCAGCCGCGTGCTCGCCGCTGGCAGCCGCCTGGAGCCCCGTCTGTCTGTCTGTCTGTCTCATGGGGCTGCGCAGCTGCACGGGGGCGGGCG